GGCTTGTCTTTTTTAATATCAAGGAATATTTCACTTTATCTGGTCATAGGAGTAACAACATGAATTGAGGCATGAGGCAGAAATAATGCATTGCGACTTAAGTTTCGCCATCAGCTGGAAGACTATCCCCTTTTCTCAGTGGAGGGAGGGAGGGAGGGACGGTGAGTCGGGTGAGAGTCAGCCTCACCGCTTCTCCCTCCCTCCCCTCAGACTGACCATCAGATGCAGGGCCATCAGTCCAGTAAAAAAGAAAGGCTAATTATTTTGCTCACTTAGCTGTGCCTCACAAGTAATACTGCAGAGATGGTTGTCTTTCTGGAAGGTCTCCCATCTCCACAGAGGAACCCTGGAGCTCTGTCAGAGTGACCATCGGGTTATTGGTCACCTCCCTGACCAAGGCCCTTGTCCCCCGATTGCTCAGTTTGGCTGGGCGGCCAAGTCTTGGTGGTTCCAAACTTCTTCCATTTAAGAATGATGGAGGCCACTGTGTTCTTTGGGACTTCCAATGCTGCATAAATGTTTTGGTACCCTTCCCCAGAACTGTGCCTCGACACAATCCTGTCTCGGAGCTCTATGGACAATTGCTTCGACCTCATGGCTTGGTTTTTGCGCTGACATGCACTGTCAACTGTGGGACCTTATATAGACATGTGTGTGCCTTTCCAAATCATGTCCAATCAATTGACTTTACCACAGGTGGACTCCAATCAAGTTGCAGAAACATCAAGGATGATCAATGGAAACAGGATGCACATGAGCTCAATTTCGAGTCTCATAGCAAAGGGTCTGAATACTTATGTAAACATTTCTACAAATCTGTTTTTGCTTTGTCATAATGGGGTATTATGTGTGGATTGATGAGGATTTTTATTCATTTAATCCATTTTAGAATAAGGCTGTAATGTAACAAAATGTGGAAAAAGGGTAGTGGTCTGAATACTTTCCGAATGCACTGTAACTGATCAAACTATGAAAGACAAGCATTGTCATTTTCTATTCCGTAAGGTGAGTGTAGAAGTGAAAAAAATGATTGTTGTCAATCAACAATGACAATCCACCGAGGTCTGACAACTTGGATGGAAAATTACTGAGTATAATAGCGGACTATATGTGACCGACCGGCTCGATTCGGTGTTTTTTTACATTGGATAAATGTAGAGACTCGGAGCTAGAAAATTGTATATCATACACTACAGTTAAAGAACAATGGGAAAGTAATTCTGCTTTGAAAGTTGATAAACTTGTATCCTCACTTTTGAGAAAATTGCCTTTTTAATGTTTTGGTACACCCGCTGGAGAGCCCTCTTTGTCTACACCCATTCAGCATCGATCACACCCTCTTAAGCTATAGCCCCGCCCTTAAACTCAGAGCATTGTCAGATTGTCCGTTCGTATATTCAGAGCGTTTCGCTCTCGGAGCGTTCACAGCGCACACTGGATGCTCTGGCCGAGGAGTAGGGTTGATCTGAACGCTCTGTCCTAACAGCAGTCAAGCACCCAAGCTAACATTGGCTAGCTTGCTAGCTACTTATTTGCCCTAGCAGAGCTGGTTAGGCTGTTTTTATGTTATCCAGAGTGTTGGTGACTGCAACTGTGCTGCTGGCAACAATGTAATTACGCTTTTTTGCCAACGTTTACTGACACCGGCCATATTCAACGGGTGTTGAGCATTCGTAAATTCATCAGTTGTGCTCTGGCACAGTGGCAATCAAACGAGAGTGCTCTGAAATCGGAGGTGAAAGCCAGAGCGACTTTACCAGCTACGTCTATCAACAGTTGTCACATTGACATCATGAACATTGTATTGAAATGGTTACTTGCATAGCAGAGTCTTTTGTTAAGACATGTAGCTAGCTAGCTAGCTAAACAATTAACCATAATCCCAACTCATGACGTTACTACCCTGCATGAATCTGCAGGTAGCTAAACAACCAGGTTCAATGTTAGCTAGCTAACATTAGGCTATAACTAGAAAAGCAAATGGCTCTGAGATACGAATAATAAGATCATACATGTAATTTTAGCTAGCGAGCCAGCCAGCTAACGTTAGCTAGCTATCTAGCAGTACACTTTAACTTGAAACGAAAACAACTTTCTGTCTAAATTAGAAACATGTAATATCTGAAAATGTAGCTAGCTAGACTATTTTACTCGTGCTCTGAAATCGGAGTAGATAGCCAGAGCGAATTTACCAGCTACGTCTATCAACAGTTGTCGTAGTGACATTCTATTGAAATGGATACTTGCATAGAGGAGTCTTTTGTTAAGACATGTAGCTAAACAATTAACCATAATCCCAACTCATGACATTACAACCCTGCATGAATCTGCAGGTAGCTAACCAACCAGATTCAATGTTAGCTAGCTAACATTAGGCTATAACTAGCCAAGTATATGGCTCTGAGATACGAATAATAAGATCATGCATGTAATTTTAGCTAGCGAGCCATCCAGCTAATGTTAGCTAGCTATCTAACAGTACACTTTAACTTGAAATGAAAATGACTTTCTGTTAAAATTTGAAACGTGTAATATCTGAAAATGTATTCAGCTAGACTATCTTGCCCGTATACATCATGGTTGGACGCTTCTCCCTGTCACGGATGCCATGGTCGCCCTTAGTTTGAAGATGTAATCCGGAGACGGGTGTTTTCTCCATCTCCTTAGCTATCATACTCAAACTCGGTCCTGCAGAAAGTGGAGAGCAACACTTATGAAGTTGTACTACGTGATATCTTTCAAAGAAGCCCTGTTAGAAAGGATGACCTACACATACTCACCAGCTCATATTATAGACCAAAGCCTGCTACATTGCCGACCAATCCAAACTCATCTCTCGGCATGTCCAGCCCACTCATTATCTCAGCCAATAATGGCTAGTGGGAAGGTTGCTGTCTTTTTCTGTGGCTAAACCAACTAGACTCGTAATTTAACAATTGTATTCGTATTTACAGATGGCACACAAGTTTATTATTAAGGCACATGAAAGTTCAAGTACATGTTCCAGAAGGCATTTCTGCCAAAAAACGCATTTTGATAAAAATATAAAGTTTATGTTCAAATGGCTCTCCTGTGAAGTAATGACCCGCAACATACAGTGGGGAAAAAAAGTATTTAGTCAGCCACCAATTGTGCAAGTTCTCCCACTTAAAAAGATGAGAGAGGCCTGTAATTTTCATCATAGGTACAAGTCAACTATGACAGACAAAATGAGGAAAAAAAATCCAGAAAATCACATTGTAGGATTTTTAAGGAATTTATTTGCAAATTATTGTGGAAAATACGTATTTGGTCAATAACAAAAGTTTCTCAATACTTTGTTATATACCCTTTGTTGGCAATGACACAGGTCAAACGTTTTCTGTAAATCTTCACAAGGTTTTCACACACTGTTGCTGGTATTTTGGCCCATTCCTCCATGCAGATCTCCTCTAGAGCAGTGATGTTTTGGGGCTGTCGCTGGGCAACACAGACTTTCAACTCCCTCCAAAGATTTTCTATGGGGTTGAGATCTGGAGACTGGCTAGGAGGCCACTCCAGGACCTTGAAATGCTTCTTACGAAGCCACTCCTTCGTTGCCCGGGCGGTGTGTTTGGGATCATTGTCATGCTGAAAGACCCAGCCACGTTTCATCTTCAATGCCCTTGCTGATGGAAGGAGGTTTTCACTCAAAATCTCACGATACGTGGCCCCATTCATTTTTTCCTTTACACGGATCAGTAGTCCTGGTCCCTTTGCAGAAAAACAGCCCCAAAGCATGATGTTTCCACCCCCATGCTTCACAGTAGGTATGGTGTTCTTTAGATGCAACTCAGCATTCTTTGTCCTCCAAACTCGATGAGTTGAGTTTCTATCAAAAAGTTATATTTTGGTTTCATCTGACCATATGACATTCTCCCAATCCTTTTCTGGATCATCCAAATGCACTCTAGCAAACTTCAGACGGGCCTGGACATGTACTGGCTTAAGCAGGGGGACACGTCTGGCACTGCAGGATTTGAGTCCCTGGCGGCGTAGTGTGTTACTGATGGTAGGCTTTGTTACTTTGGTCCCAGCTCTCTGCAGGTCATTCACTAGGTCCCCCCGTGTGGTTCTGGGATTTTTGCTCACCGTTCTTGTGATCATTTTGACCCCACGGGGTGAGATCTTGCGTGGAGCCCCAGATCGAGGGAGATTATCAGTGGTGTTGTATGTCTTCCATTTCCTAATAATTGCTCCCACAGTTGATTTCTTCAAACCAAGCTGCTTACCTATTGCAGATTCAGTCTTCCCAGCCTGGTGCAGGTCTACAATTTTGTTTCTGGTGTCCTTTGACAGCTCTTTGGTCTTGGCAATAGTGGAGTTTGGAGTGTGACTGTTTGAGGTTGTGGACAGGTGTCTTTTATACTGATAACAAGCTCAAACAGGTGCCATTAATACAGGTAACGAGTGGAGGACAGAGGACCCTCTTAAAGAAGAAGTTACAGGTCAGTGAGAGCCAGAAATCTTGCTTGTTTGTAGGTGACCAAATACTTATTTTCCACCATAATTTGCAAATAAATTCATTAAAAATCCTACAATGTGATTTTCTGGATTTTTTTTTCTCAATTTGTCTGTCATAGTTGACGTGTACCTATGATGAAAATTACAGGCCTCTCTCATCTTTTTAAGTGGGAGAACTTGCACAATTGGTGGCTGACTAAATACTTGTTTTCCCCACTGTACCTGGCTAAATGTGTATGTTCACACACTCTTCTAATACCGGGGGATATTTCCTCTTGGATATTTTTTCAGAAGCAGAACAGAAGAGAGGAGGGGCAGCCCGTGGCATGTTCCATTTTGTCCGATTCCTCTCTCTTTCCCTCTCTCTGCTAATGCTCTGCTGTTTAATTGCCTTCATGAATAACCATGGTATCTAACTTCCCAGACAGACTGCTGTTTCACCGTTTCTTTCCCTCGTTATCGGCTTTGGAGTAACTTCATTAAAACATGTCAGTCAGTCACTCGGTATAACATACTATATGGAGTCAACGACCAATCATATTCACCTGAAGAAAACTGAAATCACTCCCAATGGATGCCGAGCCCGCCCTCGGAAGCCCTGCCTTCCTGGCTATAATATCGGGGTTCGCATTCATTTCCTAAATTCTTCGCTCTTCAGCTTGTGTCACGCAATTTACAAACCTTTCAAGCACACGAAGCCTTGGCAGCAGCCTTGGCAGCAGCTAATTGGGATCCTTAATAAATACAAAATACCCATCATCCTGCCCCTGAACAATGCTCAAGAAGCTGCCACACCACTAGTGAAGTGAGCATGCACACCGCTAGGCAACCCTTGTCCTTTCCTGTCATATGCCTGGGAGATGGCCTCCAGAATCCAATGAAAAAGACGCTGCTTAGAAAGAAACCCTGAGCTGGATTAGCGAAACAGACAAAAAGCTGGTCAAGAACGCGGATATCCTTGCTTCTATCCATATACGTGCATAAAGCACGTACCGGACACAGGCCATGCAACCTCCGTTGTTCACTGGTAGGAGGAGGTGAGAAAGGGAACAGCTCGAATGCCAGGGACCTGTAAGGCATGTCCTTGGGAGCAAATGCTACATTAGGACGTAACATCACTTTGGAGTCACCAGGTGCGAACTCCCAACAGGAAGGGGGTACGTGTGGTGAACCCCAACATGCTTGGCTGATGCTAAGGCCATGAGCAGGGAAGTCTTGTATGAAAGGACCTTCAGGTCCACAGACTTCTGGTGACTCCAGTGGTTCAAACGCGGATGATCTCCGCGAACCAGGGTTGTCTGGGCCAACAGGGAGCCACCAGAATCAACAACAGACCCTCCTGACGGACCCTCTATTCTAATACTCGGCCCACACCGGGTTCGGGGATTTCGGCAACCAGTAACTTGCCCCCATTGACCGAGCCACCTGGGAGCACTGTTGCCACAGTAAATGCTTGGGGATGAGAGCCCCGAGAACACACCTCCTACCTCGGCCTCCAGCTAGGTTTGCGAGGTCTGCTTCTTCCCCCCGCGCCGCTGAAGAATCTGCTTTCACCCTGTTCTCCTTTGACCCAGCACGGCATCTGTGCAGTACTGCCTGTGTCTACCGCTGCCCAGAAACACCAAGATGGTGAAAAACTGACCTCGATGCCCCCCGGCCCGGGGCAACCCACCTCTGGCCTGGACCCCTTCCTTTATGCCTCGGGAAACTCTGAGCCGCCCCCACAAATGATTTGTGTGGGAAAAGGAACCGTAGAGCTGCGTCCTGTTTTTGTTTCTCCTCGAAACGGGCCTATAAGGACTCCATAGCCGAGCCAAACAACCTTGTTGGCGAAACTGGCTCATCCAAATAGATCCGCCTGTCCCTCTCAGGAATCCGGGACAATGTCAACCAGAGGTGGCACTAAGCCACCATTGTCGGCCCATTTTTTCCCACAGCCAGGATAATACAGCGAGACAGACGCAGCACAAAATCAGCCATGGCACGGATTGCGTCGAGAAGCTCTGAAACTGGCTTCTCCGCCTCCACAGTCCTATTCAGCTATTGCAGCAAACCGATAGGATAAATCTGCAGCATTGTGACCACATTCAACGACCTGGACACCAGCGCTCAGCCTGGTACACTTTGTCCAGCTGATCTGCCGAGAACCGACACTGTTTATTTGGAAGCACCATGCTAGGATTATCCCCATTCTTAACCTCTGGAGTTAAGTAACTTGCCAGCTTTCCATCCATCGGCAGTGTGCAAACAAGCACCGCCACCGCCATACCCTCTACATTCATGTACTCGCCATAACCTGGTAGCACCAGGCTGGCTGAATGAGGGAAATCCTAGGTCGCCTTTAGCTCATCGGCAAAATCTTTAAACAGCAGTAAGCGACGCTTCACCGCTGCAGGGACAGGAGGTAAATATCTTCCCCCAAACATGGAGGAACTTTGCTGCGGGGGAGAAGACTGCCAATCCGCCCCCAGGCGATCTGATGCCCTATGACACAGCTCCATCAAAGGCACATTAACCACCAATGGTTCACTCTTCCCCGTTCAATCCAAAGCAGGAGCTTTAGGCTGCCCAGGACTGATCCACATCCGATTCAGACTCTGAAAACTCTCTAGAGCCTACCAGGGATAGTATATAATCCCCAGAATCCGTACTGTAAACACTGCCAGAGAAACTGGAATGAGTCTCACTCGGCTAAGATGACACCCCTATCAACTCCGACTACCACTGCCGATCCCTCCCGGCTTCCCTCCCGAGCGTGTTTTCACCCAAGGCAAACAGGACAGCATTCGCGGAGTATCTTTTAAGGCCCTAGGGCACGGTCAGAGGTTCAAACTCACTCATGATATACTTCTGCCAGGTAAGCTTACTTTCCAGTTAACATTTAATTGCGAAGGTTTGGGGGAAAGTATTTCTATCAACCCACAAGACCGTTATCACATCAACTGGCTGCACACTGAGTGATAGACAAACGCACGCACCACACAGACCGATGGGCAATATTGCTGGAAATATATTGGCAGATATTGTGCTAGGTTTGTCTTTTTAATCCAATAGTGGCTAACCAGGGGTGGGATAATGTCAATGGCTAACCTGTGCGGACCAACTGGCAAGTGTCTTCACTGACATTTTCAACCTCTCCCTGACCGAGTCTGTAATACCAACATGTTTCAAGCAGACCACCATAGTCCCTGTGCCCAAGGAAGCAAAGGTAACCTGCCTAAATGATGACCGCCCCGTAGCACTCATGTCGGTAGCCATGAAGTGCTTTGAAAGGCTTTCATGGCTCACATCAACACCATCATCCCGGAACCCCTAGACCCACTCCAATTCGCATACCGCCCCAACAGATCCACAGATTACGCAATCTCAATCGCACACCACACTGCCCTTTCCCACTTGGACAAAAGGAACACCTATGCAGTTCAGCATTCAACACCATAGTGCCCACAAAGCTCATCACTAAGCTAAGGACCCTGGGACTAAACACCTCCCTCTGCAACTGGATCCTGGACTTCCTGACGGGCAGCCCCCAGGTGGTAAGGGTAGGCAACAACACATCTGCAACACAACATCTCCCTCAATGTAAGCAAGACAAAGGAGCTGATCGTGGACTACAGGAAAAGGCGGGCTGAACAGGCCCCCATTAACATCGACGGGGCTGTAGTGGAGCGGGTCGAGAGTTTCAAGTTCCTTGGTGTCCACATAACAAACAAACTATCATGGTCCAAACACACCAAGACAGTCGTGAAGAGGGCACGACAACACCTTTTCCTCCTCAGGAGACTGAAAATATTTGGCATGGGTCCCCAGATTCTCAAAAGGTTCTACAACTGCACCATCGAGCGCATCCTGACCGGTTGCATCACCGCCTGGTATGGCAACTGCTCTGCATCTGACTGTAAGGCACTACAGAGAGTAATGTGCACGGCCCAGTACATCACTGGGGCGAAGCTTCCTGCCATCCAGGACCGACAGTTGAAGTTGGAAGTTTACATACACTTAGGTTGGAGTCATTAAAACTCATTTTTCAACCACTCCACAAATGTCTTGTTAACAAACTATAGTTTTGGCAAGTCGGTTAGGACATCTACTTTGTGCATGACACAAGTCATTTTTCCAACAATTGTTTACAGACAAATTGTTTCACTTATAATTCACTGTATCACAATTGCAGTGGGTCAGAAGTTTACATACACTAAGTTGACTGTGCCTTTAAACAGCTTGGAAAATTCCAGAAAATGATGTCATGGCTTTAGAAGCTTCTGATAGGCTAATTGACATCATTTGAGTCGATTGGAGGTGTACCTGTGGATTTATTTCAAGGCCTACCTTCAAACTCAGTGCCTCTTTGCTTGACATCATGGGAAAATCAAAAGAAATCAGCCAAGACCTCAGAAACAAAATGGTAGACCTCCACATGTCTGGTTCATCCTTGGGAGCAATTTCCAAATGCCTGAAGGTACCACGTTCATCTGTACAAACAATAGTACGCAAGTATAAACACCATGGGACCACGCAGCCGTCATACCGCTCAGGAAGGAGACGCGTTCTGTCTCCTAGAGATGAACGTACTTTGGTGCGAAAAGTGCAAATCAATCCCAGAACAACAGCAAAGGACTTTGTGAAGATGCTGGACGAAACCGGTACAAAAGTATCTATATCGACATAACCTGAAAGGCCGCTCAGCAAGGAAGAAGCCACTGCTCCAAAACCGCCATAAAAAAGCCAGACTACGGTTTGCAACTGCACATGGGGACAAGGATTGTACTTTTTGGAGAAATGTCCTCTGGTCTGATGAAACAAAAATATAACTGTTTGGCCATAATGACCATCATTATGTTTGGAGGAAAAGGGGTGGACTTGCAAGCCGAAGAACACCATCCCAACCGTGAAGCACGGGAGTGGCAGCATCATGCTGTGGAGGTGCTTTACTGCAGGAGGGACTGGTGCACTTCACAAAATAGATGGCATCATGAGGAAGGACAATTATGTGGATATATTGAAGCAACATCTCAAGACATCAGTCAGGAAGTTAAAGCTTGGTCACAAATGGGTCTTCCAAATGGACAATGACCCCAAGCATACTTCCAAAGATGTGGCAAAATGGCTTAAGGACAACAAAGTCAAGGTATTGGAGTGGCCATCACAAAGCCCTGACCTCAATCCTATAGAAAGTTTGTGGGCAGAACTGAAAAAGTGTGTGCAAGCAAGGAGGTCTACAAAAATGACTCAGTTACACCAGCTCTGTCAGGAGGAATGGGCCAAAATTCACCCAACTTATTGTGGGAGGCTTGTGGAAGGCTACCCGAACCGTTTGACCCAAGTTAAACAATTTAAAGGCAATGATACCAAATACTAATTGTGTGTATGTAAACTTCTGACCCACTGGGAATGTGATGAAAGAAATAAAAGCTGAAATAAATCATTCTCTCTCCTATTATTCTGACATTTCACATTCTTAAAATAAAGTGGTGATCCTAACTGACCTAAGACAGGGAATTTTTACTAGGATGAAATGTCAGGAATTGTGAAAAACTGAGTTTAAATGTATTTGGCTAAGGTGTATGTAAACTTCCGACTTCAACTGTATATACTAGGCGGTGTCAGTGGAAGGCCCCAAAAATTGTCAAAGACTCCCAAGTCATAGACTGTTCTCTCTGCTACCACATGGCAAGCGGTACCGGAGCGCCAAGTCTAGGACCAAAAGGCTCCTTAACAGCTTCTACCCCCAAGCCATAACACTACTGAACAATTAATTGAATGGCCACCCGGACTATATACATTACTCCTACCTACATGTACAAATGACCTCGACTAACCTGTATCCCCGCACATTGACTCGGTACCGGTACCCCCTGTACGTAGCCTCGTTATTGTTATTTTATTGTGTTACTTTTTATTTTGTTTTACTTTAGTTTATTTAGTAAAAAATGTCTTAACTCTTTCTTGAACTGTATTAACCAATAAGGGCTTGTAAGTAAGCATTTCACGGTGAGGTCTACACCTGTTGTATTCTGCGCATGTCACATAAAATTTGATTTGATGTTGCGTTGATTAGGAAGTAGCTGGGGCTTGCGGTGTCTGATACTTGTGAGATTTGTTAATGAAAGTTTGTGGTGGAACACCTGAAAATTGCATGTACTTTCAGAATTGTTTGGCGAGCTACTCATAGGTGGGCTGCAAGCTCTACTGGTAGCTCACGATCGACCTGTTGGAGACTCCTGATTTAGGGGGAGGAGTACACTCTGTCCCCACTAACAGACACCTAAGTCGGAGCCGAATCTCGTAGTCTTCGTGTGCTTGAAAGGTTTGTTAATTGCGTGACACAAGCTGAAGAGCGAAGAATTTAGGAAATGAATGCGAGCCCCGATATTATAGCCAGGAAGGCAGGGCTTCCGAGGGCGGGCTCGGCATCCATTGGGAGTGATTTCAGTTTTCTTCAGGTGAATATGATTGGTCGTTGACTCCATATAGTATGTTATACCGAGTGACTGACTGACATGTTTTAATGAAGTTACTCCAAAGCCGATAACGAGGGAAAGAAACGGTGAAACAGCAGTCTGTCTGGGAAGTTAGATACCATGGTTATTCATGAAGGCAATTAAACAGCAGAGCATTAGCAGAGAGAGGGAAAGAGAGAGGAATCGGACAAAATGGAACATGCCACGGGCTGCCCCTCCTCTCTTCTGTTCTGCTTCTGAAAAAATATCCAAGAGGAAATATCCCCCGGTATTAGAAGAGTGTGTGAACATACACATTTAGCCAGGTACAGTGGGGAAAACAAGTATTTAGTCAGCCACCAATTGTGCAAGTTCTCCCACTTAAAAAGATGAGAGAGGCCTGTAATTTTCATCATAGGTACACGTCAACTATGACAGACAAATTGAGAAAAAAAAATCCAGAAAATCACATTGTAGGATTTTTAATGAATTTATTTGCAAATTATGGTGGAAAATAAGTATTTGGTCACCTACAAACAAGTAAGATTTCTGGCTCTCACAGACCTGTAACTTCTTCTTTAAGAGGGTCCTCTGTCCTCCACTCGTTACCTGTATTAATGGCACCTGTTTGAACTTGTTATCAGTATAAAAGACACCTGTCCACAACCTCAAACAGTCACACTCCAAACTCCACTATTGCCAAGACCAAAGAGCTGTCAAAGGACACCAGAAACAAAATTGTAGACCTGCACCAGGCTGGGAAGACTGAATCTGCAATAGGTAAGCAGCTTGGTTTGAAGAAATCAACTGTGGGAGCAATTATTAGGAAATGGAAGACATACAACACCACTGATAATCTCCCTCGATCTGGGGCTCCACGCAAGATCTCACCCCGTGGGGTCAAAATGATCACAAGAACGGTGAGCAAAAATCCCAGAACCACACGGGGGGACCTAGTGAATGACCTGCAGAGAGCTGGGACCAAAGTAACAAAGCCTACCATCAGTAACACACTACGCCGCCAGGGACTCAAATCCTGCAGTGCCAGACGTGTCCCCCTGCTTAAGCCAGTACATGTCCAGGCCCGTCTGAAGTTTGCTAGAGTGCATTTGGATGATCCAGAAAAGGATTGGGAGAATGTCATATGGTCAGATGAAACCAAAATATAACTTTTTGATAAAAACTCAACTCATCGAGTTTGGAGGACAAAGAATGCTGAGTTGCATCTAAAGAACACCATACCTACTGTGAAGCATGGGGGTGGAAACATCATGCTTTGGGGCTGTTTTTCTGCAAAGGGACCAGGACGACTGATCCGTGTAAAGGAAAAAATGAATGGGGCCATGTATCGTGAGATTTTGAGTGAAAACCTCCTTCCATCAGCAAGGGCATTGAAGATGAAACGTGGCTGGGTCTTTCAGCATGACAATGATCCCAAACACACCGCCCGGGCAACGAAGGAGTGGCTTCGTAGGAAGCATTTCAAGGTCCTGGAGTGGCCTAGCCAGTCTCCAGATCTCAACCCCATAGAAAATCTTTGGAGGGAGTTGAAAGTCCGTGTTGCCCAGCGACAGCCCCAAAACATCACTGCTCTAGAGGAGATCTGCATGGAGGAATAGGCCAAAATACCAGCAACAGTGTGTGAAAACCTTGTGAAGACTTACAAAAAACGTTTGACCTGTGTCATTGCCAACAAAGGGTATATAACAAAGTATTGAGAAACTTTTGTTATTGACCAAATACTTATTTTCAACCATAATTTGCAAATAAATTCATTAAAAATCCTACAATGTGATTTTCTGGATTTTTTTTCTCATTTTGTCTGTCATAGTTGACGTGTACCTATGATGAAAATTACAGGCCTCTCTCATCTTTTTAAGTGGGAGAACTTGCACAATTGGTGGCTGACTAAATACTTTTTTCCCCCACTGTATATTAGGGTATCTTGATTATGATGCGTTCTATCTCTCTGCTTGTCCACAGTCAAACTCTTGTAAAATACGTGTTGTTCATTCTTATGATTCCATTCATAGACTGATGTAATGCAATGCTATTCAGCAATGATAGTTAGTTATCACAACAGTAATTTAGTGGTCATATTATTGTATACCCAAATTAATTTTAGATTACTTTGTTATGAATGTGTGTTACCCTACCAGTAGCTTGAAAAACTTGGTACACTTTAGTTTGTGAATGCACATACTTATACTCGTCTTAAACCAGGGATGGCCAACACTAATCTGGTTGTGCAGGCTTTTCACAGTCCTCTGCCCCCCTATCTTTACTTCTCTAGGCTACTACACGTGTGGAGGTGATCTTCACCCTGAGGAGGCAGGTGGGCTTCTACATGATGGGTGTCTATGCCCCCACCTCATCATGGTCCTCTCCTGGCTCTTCTTCTCGATCAACCCTGATGCCAGCGCTGCCAGGTTCCCTCTGGGTAAGACCTCTAATCCCTATCCTAACCAGTGACCGTAAACCCCTATCCTAGCCTTACTCGGAAAGCAGTGATTCCTTGGTTCCTGTGGGTAACAGACAAGCCTGCTTTAGTCTCCCACTGTGGTATTGTCTGACTTTAGCCTCCAAATCCAAACTGAATCATGGCAAGTTTCACTAGTGTTTCACTTCACAAATTGAAGCAATAGTGAATGTAATTCAGTTTGGATTTCGAGCTAGTCTGACGTATTGAGGCATCAAATGCAGCCTAATATAGCCATCCATTTTACATCAATGCATGATGACATGAGCGCTTTCCACTTTTTCATATAATCTAGTCTCCCATGTTACTGTTTCACTGTCTGCCTGAGGGAGTGCAATGTGAATAGCAATGGGACCACCAATTTTCATTCCACTGTCGCCCCTACATGATAAATAATAGATAATGATACATAATATTTTGTATGGGTAACTCACCTGGTCCATTGTAAACAAGCCTGCATGAGTCGGAAATGTCAACTTCTCACCCATTTGACGTCACTTCATCCAATCCGATGGGTCTGGAAAGAGCTCTGTGAATAAGAGGACCATCCACCTCCAGCTGTTTGTCAATTTCATCCCATCCCTCTGGAGGGCCACCTCATGACACCTCAGTAAATGGGATCAGCACAGGTCAGTCATCTCCCGCGTGTGACCATTGACATATGTCGTTCATTCATCTCTCTGTGTGTGTGTGTATGTTAGCGTACATGTTATTAAATGTGTGCAATACTTCCATATATGCTTCCTACTATGTGTGTCGGTTTCAGACTCATTTTGTTCCCACAATAAAGTGCCCCATCGGGGGCCAAGCATCAGCAAACAAAGTATTATGCTGTTTCAACAGAGCCAACACCTTCCCTGTGTTATGTAAAATAGGCCAGTTTACATGCTGTGATGAAAAGGATTTCGGAGCTCAGCGAACTCGGATGGGGTTAGATAATCATCCGAAATAAGGACTCTGCTTTTATATAAAGATTTGTAGGCATACAACCACCTAGATTAATTGTCCAATCGGAGAGAAAACAATAAAATTAAAAATAGACTATTATCGGTGGCTATTTGAACCCGCTTCATCACTAGAATGAGAAAGATAGAGGTAAAGGAAGGTTCATGGGTGTATAATTGGGCTCTTTGGACTGTAAATCATGGGATTGAATGTGAGTGTTTCATTACCACTGCCTAGTCTAGGTGATTCATATATCCATTAATCTGTACTGTACACCAGGGGTATTCAATTCCAACTGTCGAGGGCTGCTGTGTCTTCTCCTTGCTATTTACCACTCACCTGATTTAGATCAAAGACTAGACCTCTGATTTTAAAGGCAAGGATGAAAACTATCAAATATTGCGACCCTCAAGGTCTGAAGTTGAATCACCTTGCTGTCAAATGCTGTGCATTTTATGTTGAGCATTAGAGAGTCCAGGGGTCAAATGCTAATTTAAGATCCTAAGACACCTCTAGAAGTATCCCCAACGCGAAGTTCTGCTCTCCTTCCTTGGATGTTTAATTGACAAGGTCACCTCTTCACTCCCTCACTGTTAACCTACCAGGGATCCTCTCAGTGCTCTCCCTGTCTTCTGAGTGCACGTCCCTGGCCTCGGAGCTGCCCAAGGTGTCCTATGCGAAGGCCATCGACATCTGCCTCATCGAATGTCTGCTGTTCGGCTTCGCCTCGTTGGTGGAGTACGCCTTGGTAGAGGTGAAGCTCAACAGCCCTAAGCGCAGAGATGGCCAAGATGGCGTCCAAGGCAAAGGCAGAGGGGAAGGAGAAGGCGGCAGGCAAGAAAAACACGGTCAACGATACCAGCGGGATGCCCTGTCATGTCAGCACGCTGCAGGTGGGTGAGGGGTGGTTGTGTATGGTGGGTGAGGGAAAGGTGGGGAGGGGATGAGATTGGCATGTTTCTGATGAATGGGGGAAGGTTTGTGTGTACGTGTGTTCAGTTACTGTGATTAGAAATAAGTTGCCCCCAGACACAGATCTAAGGTCAAGATGAAGTTTTCCCTAACCACTTCTCTCACAGTTGAATGAGGAATGGTTAACCTTGGACATATCCTTAGGCATGATGAGAGTGAAGTTAGAGATACCAATAGATAAATAGGTAGGACGATCCAATCATTCATAAATGCTAACATCTGCTCTCTGGCCTGGCACGGATAAAGATTGACACAGGTACAGATTTAGCTTGTGAAATGTTATTTTCAATCATACACTTCATAGAAATTAATTTACATCATAATGTATGTTAGTCAAGACTTGTGCAGAGTATTGAGCTGAGATTTTCGACAAGATAACACTAGTCAATTATGTTCTCATCAAACGTAAATCAAATGAAAGCCAATTTAATGAGCTTAATGGTTAGAGTGAAAAAAGTAGCAACTGTATGATTCGTATCTAATTTGCCCTGTAGCCCTTGAGGGAAGCCGATGAGAAAGATCGAAATGAGGGTTTTCAGAAGCTACTTCCCACTGATTCTGTTGTAGCAATCTATTGTAGCAGCATGTTGATTCAACAAAGAAAAAACTAGAAAATACTTCCAAACTCCAGATTACAGCTCCAAAACAACAACATTAGGGACATTCTGCAATGCATGAGGTAATTGTGTATCAGTTGCATTCTCATCTCATTCTGAAAGAAACTGCCAGTTAGTATTGAAGTCATGTGGTCTAGTTTGACAACAACACCACTGCACTGTCAAAATTGCACCCTTTGTATATGCCGAGATAGATACAGTATATACAGTGCCTTCGGAAAGTATTCAGACCCCTTGACTTTTTCCACATTTTGTTACGTTACAGCCTTATTCTTAAATGGATTGAATAAAAACAAATCCTCAGCAATCTACATACAATACCCCATAATGACAAAGCGAAAACAGGTTTATAGAAATTTTTGCAAATGTCTAAAAAATTATAAACAGAAATACCTTATTTACATAAGTATTCAGACCCGAAATTGAGCACAGGTGCATCCTGTTTCCATTGATCATCCTTGAGATGTTTCTACAACTTGATTGGAGTCCACCTGTGATAAGTTCAATTGATTGGACATGATTTGGAAAGGCACACACCTGTCTATATAAGGTCCCACAGTTGACAGGTCATGTCAGAGTAAAAACCAAGCCATGAGGTCGAAGGAATTGCACCGAGACAGGATTGTGTCAAGGCACAGATCTGGGGAAGGGTACCAAAACATTTCTGCAGCATTGAAGGTCCCCAAGAACACAGTGGCCTGCATCATTCTTAAATGGAAGAAGTTTGGAACCACCAAGACTCTTCCTAAAGCTGGCCGCCCAGCCAAACGGAGCAATCGGGGGAGAAGGGCTTTGGTCAGGGAGGTGACCAACAACCCGATGGTCACTCTGACAGAGCTCTAGAGTTCCTCTGTGGAGATGGGAGAACCATCCAGAAGGACAACCATCTCTGCAGCACTCCACCAATCAGGCCTTTATTGTAGAGTGGCCAGACGGAAGCCACTCCTCAGTAAAAAGCACATGACAGCCCGCTTGGAGTTTGCCAAAAGGCACCTAAAGACTCTCAGACTATTAGAAACAAGATTCTCTGGTCTGATGAAACCAAGATTGAACTCTTTGGCCTGAATGCCAAGCGTCACGTCTGGAGGAAACCTGGCACCATCCCTACGGTGAAGCATGGTGGTGGCTGATGTTTCTTTTCAGCAGCAGGGACTGGGAGACTAGTCAAGGATCGAGGAAAAGATGAACAGAGCAAAGTACAGAGAGATCGTTGATGAAAACCTGCACCAGAGCTCTCAGGACCTCAGACTGGGGCGAAGGTTCACCTTCCAACAGAACAACGACCCTAAGCACAAGGCCAAGACAATGCAGGAGTGGCTTCGGGGCAAGTCTCTGAATATCCATGAGTAGCCCAGCTAGAGCCTGGACTTGAACCTGATCGAACATCTCTGGAGAGACCTCAAAATAGCTGTGCAGCGATGCTCCCCATCCAACCTGACAGAGCTTGAGAGGATCTGCAGAGAAGAATGGGAGAAACTCCCCAAATACAGGTGTGCCAAGCTTGTAGTGTCATACCCAAGAAGACTCAAGGCTGTAATCGCTGCCAAAGGTTCTTCAACAAAGTACTGACTAAAGGGTCTGAATACTTATGTAAATGTAATATTTCTGTTTTTATTTTTTTTATAAATTAGCAAAAAATTCTAGACCTGTTTTTGCTTTGTCATTATGGGGTATTGTGTGTAGATTGATGACAACAATATTAATCTATTTTAGAATAAGGCTGTAACGTAACATAATTTGGAAAAAGTAAAGCGGTCTGAATACTTTCCAAAGGCACTGTATATATGGACGTGCAAGAGTGATCATCTCCATATGTCTCCATCCTACCCTCCAACCACACTAGAACCATATCAAAGAACAGAACAGATCTGACCGAAACCACACCAAAAGGTCCTGACAGGGTTGGCAAAGCACAGTCATAAATCAGCTCATATCAGAATGTCACACGAATGAAGGCATTCTTCAATTGGAGGTGGTCGGAGGACAGGCTTTGAGACGTACAAAGGGTATGGTAAGCATTATCGCCATTCCTTTCCAAAGTCGAGCCAGACAAGTCCTCAACTCTTCCATCGTCTCCCTTTTCCCCTAGTAATAAGGGCCAGGTGATCTGTGGCACCCATTTGTGTTCCTCCAGCGCATCCACGACTCCTTAAATGTGAGACTCTGAGTCACTGGGTATGACAGAAACAGAACTGGGCGTTTGTTGAGTTTTCCCTCGTAGAGTCAGGCTCCTCTCGGGTCGGCTTAACATTACTGTCGACGTCTCTCTGGCTCTGGCCGCTATGGCTCAGCGTTGGCGGTAGCTGCCATCTGTGGCAAGGGAGAAGGAATGGGATGTGATTGGAGCTCTAGCTGACTCCTTTTGCATTGGCTGCCGAGATGTATGATGCCATTAACTGAGAGAAAGTCAGAGAGCTGGAGAGTGACTGGACGGGAATGTTTGGAGTAGTGGGACTAATGCAATGTTTTCAATTGCTCCCATCACCACCTCACCACCCACTGCCATTGTGCACTTGAGCAAAGCACTTAACCCCTTACCTGCTCGAGGAGACCTGCTCTTTGGCTGACCCTGTGCTCCTCCAATGATTGTGGGGTGGGTACTTTAACCATGTTTTATTCACCACCTTTCCCTTTTCCAGGTGGGAGAGACCCAGTGCAAAAAGGTGTGTACCTCCAAGTCGGACCTGCACAGCAACGACTTCAGCATTGTTGGCTCACTGCCGCGGGACTTTGAGCTCTCCAACTTTGACTGCTATGGGAAGCCCATCACCTTGCCTCGTGGCCTCAGCAAAAGCCAGGCCAAGGCCAAGAAACCGCCACCGCCCAAGCCCGTCATCCCCTCAGCCGCCAAGGGGGTCGACCTCTACGCCCGAGCCCTCTTCCCCTTCTCCTTCCTCTTCTTCAACGTCATCTATTGGTCCGTGTACTTGTGATCAGGGATGGAATTTAAGGATTTTGGGCACAGCCAGCTGAGCTTGTAGACCACATTTTATACTAATTTCCATCTTTGCCCTGTGATCTCATATTTAGATCCATTCTTCTTAATTCAAGTTGTTTATGTACAGTGGGGAGAACAAGTATTTGATACACTGCATATTTTGCAGGTTTTCCTACTTACAAAGCATGTAGAGGTCTGTAATATTTACCATATGTACACTTCAACTGTGAGAGACGGAATATAAAACAAAAATCCAGAAAATCACATTGTATGATTTTTAAGTAATTAATTTGCATTTTATTGCATGACATAAGTATTTGATCACCTACCAACCAGTAAGAATTCCGGCTCTCACAGACCTGTTAGTTTTTATTTAAGAAGCCCTCCTGTTCTCCACTCATTACCTGTATTAACTGCACCTGTTTGAACTCGTTACCTGTATAAAAGACACGTGTCCACACACTCAATCAAACAGACTCCAACCTCTCCACAATGGCAAAGACCAGAGAGCTGTGTAAGGACATCAGGGATACAATTGTAGACCTGCACAAGGCTGGGATGGGCTACAGGACAATAGGCAAGCAGCTTGGTGAGAAGGCAACAACTGTTGGCGCAATTATTAGAATATTGGAAAAAATGGAAGAAGTTCAAGATGACGGTCAATCACCCTCGGTCTGGGGCTCCATGCAAGATCTCACCTCGTGGGGCATCAATTATCATGAGGAAGGTGAGGGATCAGCCCAGAACTACACGGCAGGACCTGATCAATGACCTGAAGAGAGCTGGGACCACAGTCTCAAAGAAAACCATTAGTAACACACTACGCCGTCATGGATTAAAATCCTGTAGCGCACGCAAGGTCCCCCTGCTCAAGCCAGCGCATGTCCAGGCCCGTCTGAAGTTTGCCAATGACCATCTGGATGATCCAGAGGAGGAATGGGAGAAGGTCATGTGGTCTGATGAGACAAAAATATAGCTTTTTGGTCTAAACTCCACTCGCCGTGTTTGGAGGAAGAAGAAGGATGAGTACAACCCCAAGATCACCATCCCAACCATGAAGCATGGAGGTGGAAACATCATTCTTTGGGGATGCTTTTCTGCAAAGGAGACAGGACGACTGCACCGTATTGAGGGGAGGATGGATGGGGCCATGTATCGCGAGATCTTGGCCAACAACCTCCTTCCCTCAGTAAGAGCATTGAAGAAGGGTCATGGCTGGGTCTTCCAGCATGACAACAACCCGAAACACACAGCCAGGGCAACTAAGGAGTGGCTCCGTAAGAAGCATCTCAAGGTCCTGGAGTGGCCTAGCCAGTCTCCAGACCTGAACCCAATAGAAAATCTTTGGAGGGAGCTGAAAGTCCGTATTGCCCAGAGACAGCCCCGAAACCTGAAGGATCTGGAGAAGGTCTGTATGGAGGAGTGGGCCAAAATCCCTACTGCAGTGTGTGCAAACCTGGTCAAGACCTACAGGAAACATATGATCTCTGTTTTTGCAAACAAAGGCTTCTGTACCAAATATTATGTTCTGCTTTTCTGATGTATCAAATACTTATGTCATGCAATAAAATGCAAATTAATTACTTAAAAATCATACAATGTGATTTTCTCGATTTTTGTTTTAGATTCCGTCTCTCACAGTTGAAGTGTACCTATGATAAAAATGACAGACCTCTACATGCTTTGTAAGTAGGAAAACCTGCAAAATCGGCAGTGTATCAAATACTTGTTCTCCCCACTGTATTTATATGAATCTATATATTATTAACTATCATTATTGGCACTAGAAAAATCATATCGTCCAATAATTCATGATTGGCACTAGGAAAAGCGGAAAAGCATCACAGGTGTAATTCATGAGATATGAAATTATTGACAATAAGAACATACAGTGGGGGAAAAAAGTATATAGTCAGCCACCAATTGTGCAAGTTCTCACACTTAAAAAGATGAGAGGCCTGTAATTTTCATCATAAGTACACGTCAACTATGACAGACAAAATGTGAGAAAAAAAATCCAGAAAATCACATTGTAGGATTTTTAATGAATTTATTTGCAAATTATGGTGGAAAATAAGTATTTGGTAAATAACAAAAGTTTCTCAATACTTTGTTATATACCCTTTGTTGGCAATGACACAAGTCAAACGTTTTCTGTAAGTCTTCACAAGGTTTTCACACACTGTTGCTGGTATTTTGGCCTATTCCTCCATGCAGATCTCCTCTAGAGCAATGATGTTTTGGGGCTGTCGCTGGGCAACACGGACTTTCAACTCCCTCCAAAGATTTTCTATGGGGTTGAGATCTGGAGACTGGCTAGGCCACTCCAGGACCTTGAAATGCTTCTTACGAAGCCACTCCTTCGTTGCCCGGGCGGTGTGTTTGGGATCATTGTCATGCTGAAAGACCCAGCCATGTTTCATCTTCAATGCCCTTGCTGATGGATGGAGGTTTTCACTCAAAATCTCACGATACATGGCCCCATTCATTCTTTCCTTTAGACGGATCAGTCGTCCTGGTCCCTTTGCAGAAAAACTGCCCCAAAGCATGATGTTTCCACCCCCATGCTTCACAGTAGGTATGGTGTTCTTTAGATGCAACTCAGCATTCGTTGTCCTCCAAACACGACAAGTTGAGTTTTTACCAAAAAGATATATTTTGGTTTCATCTGACCATATGACATTCTCCCAATCCTCTTCTAGATCATCCAAATGCACTCTAGCAAACTTCAGACGGGCCTGGACATGTACTGGCTTAAGCAGGGGGACACGTCTGGCACTGCAGGATTTGAGTCCCTGGCGGCGCAGTGTGTTACTGATGGTAGGCTTTGTTACTTTGGTCCCAGCTCTCTGCAGGTCATTCACTAGGTCCCCCCATGTGGTTCTGGGATTTTTGCTCACCGTTCTTGTGATCATTTTGACCCCACGGGGTGAGATCTTGCGTGGAGCCCCAGATCGAGGGAGATTATCAGTGGTGTTGTATGTCTTCCATTTCCTAATAATTGCTCCCACAGTTGATTTCTTCAAACCAAGCTGCTTACCTATTGCAGATTCAGTCTTCCCAGCCTGGTGCAGGTCTACAATTTTGTTTCTGGTGTCCTTTGACAGCTCTTTTGTCTTGGCCATAGTGGAGTTTGGAGTGTGACTGTTTGAGGTTGTGGACAGGTGTCTTTTATACTGATAACAAGTTCGAAGAGGTGCTATTAATACAGGTAACGAGTGTAGGACAGAGGAGCCTCTTAAAGAAGAAGTTACAGGTCTGTGAGAGACAACAAAATCTTGCTTGTTTGTAAGTGACCAAATACTTATTTTCCACCATAATTTGCAAATAAATTCATTAAAAATACTACAATGTGATTTTCTGGACTTTTTCTCTCAATTTGTCTGTCATAGTTGACGTGTACCTATGATGAAAATTACAGGCCTCTCTCATCTTTTTAAGTGGGAGAAGTTGCACAATTGGTGGCTGACTAAATACTTTTTTCCCCACTGTAATTATCAATTAACAATGGATAAAGAATTAAGAATGTATATAATTATTATCAATAAAAAATAGATACAATAAATTATTTATTGAAAATATTTATGTAAATATCCAGGTCCTCTGCTTTCTGGCGCTAAGTGCGGGAACTTGCTTGCAAGTTTGATAAGATGGCATTGGCACAAAGTTTACAATTGCATGTAAAAAATGTATTATGAATATAAATACAGTATATTAATACTATCAAAGTTTATTAATAATATGATTAAAAAATATATCCAATACTCCTGTTGATATTTGAAACACATTGTCCTTGTTCGGATGGTTATATGACATTGCCACGATGAGAATTGTAACTTTTGACGATCTCTCACATTGACTACATATCATGTGTAAATGGGTTAACAAACTGACCATGTATATATCATTTACAACTTTACAATTTACAAACTAACCAATAAATGTTTATATGAATCACACAATTATGTATTTGTGATATTTGTAGTAGTGTAAATATGTCTGTCCCTACACACATTTATCACAGATTTACTACAATAACTAAAGAAAGTAAAATTGATCTCATTTTGGAAGACAGTATAACCATTGCTCATTAAAATAAACTCAAGGATTTCGCCAGATATCTGAACCATAACCCCCTTTCCCCTAAATTATTCACATGATATCAAAAGATTAACTTCTACCCGTAAAAACAGTCACATTTGTGAAAGATCATTCCCAGTAAGATTGATAATTGGGGAATATCTATCCATCTTTCTCCTCCCCCGTGGGCTGACCCATATTTTCCCAACATGCAACCTGCACATTAAGCACGCCACACAGCTGTTTCCTCCACGAGAGTCTTGCCCCTCTCCTAATCCCCCAACTGGTCATTAATTATGCATTGGAAATGTGTTTGGATATTGACCTCAGAGTATAATTGCGAGACTCCTCAATATGAAGTCTGTCTCTGACTTAATGAACCAAGATAGATGCCGACCTCATGTCATGACAAATGGCCCATATAAATGAAGCAGAAGGAGATCTGGTTTGTTGAGGATGGAAAGGACAGAAGAAAATGAGTCATTTCAGTGGTTATATTACTTGGGGTTGGACCATAGATTCATTAATGACATGTTTTGATTATATGCTTATTTACCAAGAAAATATGACTTCTTTCCTGTTGCTGTCATGGTAACAGACATAATGGAGGGAAGATTTCAGTGGTCACTGAAGGCAACCAATCTCGCCGACGGATGTTTCTGGAATGAGGACACGTGCCAGATGGTAAAGTCTAGACAAAACAATAAAAACGGGAGTTAAACGAGAATGACAAATGAGTTAAAATAATCTCCTCGTTAAAAGGTATAATAATATTATTCTGGAAATGCACTGTTTTTAGGGCCAAAATGTGTTGGTTATATTGATTATGCCAAAAATCTATCGGTTTGTCATTAATATCGACTGGTTCCCATGGAATTTCCTCCCATGGATGTCCCCCACATGGATCTAGAATCT